ATTAAATTTTGTTAATGAGTTCTGATTTGAAAGGATCTTTGTTAGAATTTGTTATTGAAGATTCTGTAAATTCTGCAAGAGAAAAATTTACATTTAAGAATTTACTGTTCATGTAAGTAGTAAATGTTTGTAAAGTTGAATGCAATTTTGTGATCAAAGAAGTTATCTACCTTTGATTGTTTTGTGTAATACAATGTTCTCGAATGTTGAGAAATAAAGTTGATTTGTTAGCAGGAATTTGTTTAACTTCTGCGTAAGGAATTTAGTGAGTGAATGGGAATATCGTTAAGCTTGTATAATATTCGAAAAAAACCTTAAGATTGTGTGACGTGAAGTTTAGCTGCAATTCGTTTGATGTCACAATGCTCAATGGCGAGTGTGAATGAGTTTCCGTTTTTATTTGCTTCGGGTGGCTCACAGAAACTTGACGCGAACTTGTTTTCAGTCACGAGCTGTAATGATTAGTTAAGCGTGGGTGGATAATCACGCTTACTTGTATATTTATTAACCAATGAGGGCTAGAGATTTTTTTGAAAGTGTATGAAGTTGAAAGTGTTAGTTCTGTGATCCACTTTTTGCACAGATTTGACCAATTTTGGGGTATTATTTTGGGGTATTGTATTAATGTAAAATTTGGGTTCTACATCTTAAGCATTTTTAAAACTTTCACACGTTTTCACAGTTCATTCGTTACTCATCAAAACAACATTATAGACGAAAGATGTAAACAACAAATTTAAAAATCTTTTTACAATCCAATATTTATCCTAGAGATATATTTTGAAGTCAGTTATTTATGCATTAATTAACTGGATTTTGTAAAAGTAATGTTTCTTTTTATTTAAAACTTAATGAAAATAATCTCTATTTATGTACGGTAGCCTGTGAGGTCAAAGGTTAAAAATTTTTTTTAAAAAGTATAATTACATCTCATCAAAAGAAAAGAAACATGGTTCACCATCAGTGAACATTGATATTTATTTTTAAAAATAAATCATTTAACATTATATAACCAACAGTTAATGAATGTTTTTTTATTCTATACGATTTTATGGAACTTAGTAAAAGGAATCATTTTACTTTTTATTTTTTTATTTTATTATTTTTTCGTTAAATGATACTTTTGAGTTTAATATATAGTTTAATATATTTCTTTTATTTTTTTTAGTTTCTGTCATAAAATATTTAATTACACCCATTGTGTGTGTGTGTTTTTATGTAATTATTCTGAAATTAAGAATTATTCAGTTATCATATTACTCTTCTTTTGATAGGGAAAATACTCAATACTTCAGAATTATTTCCTTTTTGAACTTCCATGCCCAAATAACAGTTGCTAAAATGAAAAAATAAAAATAAAATAAAATTCTTTTAAAAATGTTCAGACTCGAAAATGACATTATTTTTCTATTCTTCAAAGACATCTTTATTTAATAAAATAAAAAACTCTTACGAAAAGCAACGGAATTAATTTTAAATCGAACTAAAACAAATTACAGGTAATTTTTCTTTAAATAAATTAGGTGGAGATTTTTTTTTTCCAATCTGAAAGAATATAATGTGTTTTGTTAAATTCTGCAAGCAAAAAGATATTTTGTGAGTTTTATTGAACTATTTTTGATAACACACGGAACTAATTCTCCGTTTGTCCACACTTGATATTGCATAATTTTTTTTTTTCTGAAATAACAACTTCAGGGATTTTCTTTAACTGTAAAACTTCTGCTCAAATTAAAAAGTAAAACATCGAAGGTGGGGTGAAAGAGATTTCTCACCTCGAAAAAATATCTCCCCAAAGTTTCCTAATGAAATAACAATCATTTTCACTTTTCAGTAATAATACATTATTGAATAATTACTGAACGGTTCGTTCGTATTGAATAATTCCTTGAGTTTTGAAAAATATCTTAAAACACGGGGTTATAGTAGCGTTTTTTTTCCTTCATTTTAGAAAAAAAAAACATATCCATTGGTGATCATTTCCAACCAAGACGATCGCCTTTTCGTCAACTGATTATGATACAAGGGAAATCAATGTGTACGGTATACTTGTCTGGTTGATCGTTTCAGAATGGGGTACAGTTATCTCCCTTGGCAGGTAAAAATATCAGACGTTTAAACAGTTTACTTTAGCGTCGTTTTACGTATTTTACAGTATTTGTCGTATTAATTTAATTAACACAATATCGTTAAATATTAAGATTTAATGTTAACTCATTTTAGATACTTTATTTTATCATGATTTTATTCCCTTGAAATTTAGGTGAAAGGCTGTTACCAAACAAAATACGAGTACAAAGAGTCAACACTCAATACTAGTGTTACTGTTGTGACTGTTGTCGTAACCACAACAGACTTACTACTCCCACCCCCAAAAAACGAAAAACGCATATTTTTAACAATTTATAATACACCTCCTTTGAAGTTAAATTTTGGTTTAATTTGAAAGATAATAGCTTAAACTTAATTCTGAAAAAAAGAAAGATAAATTTACGTATATAAATAAAGTTTTCAAACATTTTTAAAATCATAACTCTTCGAACGTCTATTATAGTCGAATAATGAAAACAAATTTTTAAAAAAACTGTTAATAATTTAATATGAACCCTGTAGCAGAAAAACACAATTTACACATAGTTAGAGATAACAAATTAAAGCCAAATTTATACAATTATTAGAAAACTTATATCTCTAACTATACACCAATTTCCGTCTAGCTAAGTCACACACACACTGAACTCTACTCAAAACAAATTTTAAAACAAGCACAAATATACCAGAGTGCTGGCCATTATTGACGCGACTTTCGCTTGTCACAGATGTCTACAGCTACGCCCGTGCGTTTCCCTTATATAGGCTATAAGAGAAGCCGGACAGCAGAGAGGGAGAGAGAGAACAAAGAACAAACAAAGCGAAACTTCACACACACACATTAACGATAGAGGCTATGAAAACGACCTACTGGGAAAACAAAAAGAGAACGGACACCTCTATCAACGTGATATGCCCTAACCGATAGCTAACAAGCACTCAGTCGGATTAAGCATACTCCTTTTTCACGCTCTTGTTGGGATTGCTAGGAGTTTGAATTTGATATCAGAAAGTTTTTATATTAAGATGGTTAGTTTACGAACATGTTCACCATATTAATCCGCAACAATATAGAATATAGACATTCAAAAACGAATCAATCACAAGGCAATTGAGTAAGAAACACCGATTATGAGATTTCAATAAAACAACATGCATTTATGTACAATTAATATACAATTTGAATACTTGTAGTTTGATAATGCAAGAAATTGACCATTGATAAATTGGGTTTCTTATTGATTTACAGTTTAAAATTGTTCAAATGTTTAAGAACTGGTCAAACAGAGTAAAATGGAAAATATTTTCATACAGAAATTTGTGTAGTTTGTATGCGTGAATAAAATAAAGTATGAGTTTGTATGCGTGAATAAAGTAGGGTTTAATTGTTTAAATTTTCCAGAGTTGTTTACCTTGGATTGTTCTGTGTTTGTCTTTGTTTAAAATACAATTTCTATTTTAGTAGTATGTAAGAACACTTTTCTTAGAAAGTTGTAAGTGAGATGTGAGAGGAGATTATGTTGATTTTAGAGTCAGCAGTTGACGCGCGAAAAAGTATCTTAAGTCAAAGTAGTGACACGCGTGGATTTGTGTGGCATCTCTCTGACATTTATTGACTGACATTATTTATCTAAATGGTCCTTTTATTTATTTCACAAGGCCTAAAATAGGAGGGTTGAGACTGGTCTTAAAACATCCTATACCTAGATAATCCGATTCACGACCCATTCATATTAAGTCGAGATTTGCCCATTCACCAGGTGTTGGTTCCATTAAAATCAATTCTGATGGAAGAGTGTATTTTATCTCAGAGGTGGGGGGCTATGGACGATTCTATAACCATAAAAATATAATGTTTATATATGTATAACAAAAATTTATGGATGAATAAAATGAAAAAAGGAGATGAAAGTAATAAATAAACTAAAAAAGCAAAATAAACATAACTGTTATATAATAAAAAAAAAGAAACCAAAACTCAAAACAAGAGTCAGGATCATTCTGGGTTTGGACAAAATCAGAGATGTCTCAGCTCAGGGATTGAGAGAAGGATAAAAAATTTTACGAAATAATAAATATAAAATATATATATATAAAATATATAAAAATATATATATATATATATTAATCTCTAATCAAAATACCGGAAGACAGGTCAAGAACAACATTTTCACATTAACTAGTTACAAAAAAGCTTGTCTAACTAAATCTGAGGGCTCCATCGGTCACCACCCGATGTGACATAGGCTAACCTAAACGAGAAAATTAGGCTAGCCCTGTTCAAACGAACCAAGGATCTTCCCAATAAGAATGTCGAATGGACTATTCCATCAGTTCTAAATACTGCATCTCAGAGCTGATGCAAGGAAGAATCGGATCAGATCCGAGTGAGAAAGGAGGATATTCCGTCAAAACAGAGTCCTGTCGCGTCATCAAATCATCATTCGGGCCGTGGCTAAGCGTCAGAAACACCATCCGTTTCACCCCTAAAACCTGGGCGTTCATACTAACATTTCTACTTCTCATGCGCGATCAATTTGACACGTGTTATTCCATATCCGAGACGAGTTCGTCTTTATTGGTTCTACATGGTCCCATAACCGTGGACCAAGGGACAATGGTAGAAGGCGTGCGAATAGAGATCGTAGCCACACCGTTAAACTGGCAAATCCACCAAGCCCCTTATGGTTCTGTTCGCTGAGAGGCAGTCGATTCAGAACAATCCCATGAATTAAAGAAAACTCATGTTAATGAGGTTCTGGGCTGGCGCCAAAACCATTAAGAGCGAAACTTCCTCCAAAAAATCGAGATCCTACTGAAATCCTTCGCGGCCCCTTCCACTATATGGCGATTCAAGACCTTCCTTTTCCGAGAAAGGTCATAGGTCCGAGGAACGGCCAAAAGTGGATTTACAGACAGATAAGGAAAAATACCAATGGACCCGAACAAATGAAAGGAAAAACCCGCGAATGGGTGACTGAACAAGGAAAAACGGAAACAACAAAAGACAGTTGAAATTTCCGTCACACACAATGAAGTAAAAGGTCTTCGAGGCATTTAAACTCACAGGACAAATAGCATCCCATTGACATGGACGTTATCATCAGACTCGTCTGTCGACCCAGCTGAATGCCCTTGTTGGAGGATAGCTCCTCGAACGGCTTCCCTTCGTCGACGCCAAATCTGACCGGCCCCGTCGACCTTTCCACTTCAAACCAAATTTTCTCCAGCTGGAGGTCGGGTCCAAACCACATCCAAGAATGCAGACAGGACCGTCCGTCCAACCGAAAGGGCCCCGGAGATCGACCCTATTCCAATAATCATTTTGTGTTCCGGACGACTTGTCGCAGTTAATAAACTGTATTAATAAATTTTCGTACCGATCAAGCGCCTTCATACCGTCTGTTGTCCCTGTTTTTAACGACTCGAAAGAACCGTCAGAAACCCTTCCAACCCCTGCCAGGAACGGCGATTCCGCAAAAACTCTAGGCCCTAATCAATGTTGAATTGGTTTAGCATCTCCCTCAGCCGGCGAAGGAGAGACTCAGATAAGCATAAAGTTTCGGGCGACAGGTTAACACTGACGGATGTACCAAGACGAAAATTGCCCGACAAGTCTATTTCACCTGTTGATAAAATCCAGGAGCGTTTGCACTCGGTTGCTTTGTCTTTCTCAAAAGCCTTTGACATTGTTTATCAGAGGCCGAACTTAGAGCAACCTGAAAAGATCCGCACGTCATCTTTGGAAAAGGCGACATTTTGAACTGATCCAGATCAATTTTCCTGTCAAACTGCGAAATGTTGACCATCCTATCTTACTACTGTCCTGCAGGTCCTTTCGACTAACGCGACTTCTCCCGCACCCCAGGTCCCATCCTGTCATACTCTGTTTTTTTTTTTCATTAATCGACCCCCGATGACATCAACGAGACCAAAATTTAAACAGATCGACCAAGCTATCATTTACCCATCCTCCCATTAAGACTGATCCCGATCTAACAAGGTCCAGGATGGCATTCCAGTCCCCAAAAACGAAGCGCGTTGAATCCACCAGTCGTTAACCGCCGAAAAAAACGAAACCCGTTTGGTCGTTGGGCGCATAAACCGCAACGACCCGAAACAACCAATCATCACGGCAATATCTCTCGATCAACTTCCATCAGTCCCTCGCTCGGATGCTAACCTCCACCTTCGCATCTAGAGTCCGTTGCGCAGCAAAGACACTCTAACGTTAGCTCGGTCCCTATATGCAGCTGTCGCATCGGAAATGAAAACAAAGTGGGTTGAATCCATCGCGGCGACAACCACGCCAAAGGATAAAGAGATCCACTGAGCAGGCGGGCGAGACATTTTTCTCTCAAGCCCTTCATATTCAAAAGCTTCTTGATAGACATGGTCCAGGTCTGCAAAAAATAAAGATGCCACAAAAACCTACACACATACCGGCCGGAAATCTGCGTTTGTAAGCTCCCAAAGGATTGTCCCAGGAATATTAGTCCCAATCTGTCGTCATTCGACCATCCAAGACAATCCTATGCCGACGTCCGAGGGGTAGATTAATTTCACTGCCCTATATAAGGAGGGAAAACCAGTGTCTCCATTCGGGACCCTCCGTTAAAAAAAGTGCCCTTGTATTCTTATCCTTCTCAGTTCGAAGACTCAATGTTAGAGAACGGCTTTAGCCCCAAATAAGTGGCGCCACGCTTTCAAATCCCCTTTGGTTGAAGCAGTAATTGATTCTACTCGGTGAAATAGAGAGATGTGATATAGAGAGAGACACGAGGTGAATTTAGTAATCAACAGTGTTAAAGAATTAGGATGAAGGTGCTAATTACTAGTAGAAGGGATTCCGGACCGGAGCAATTCCAGAAATAAGTTTTTTTTTTTCTTGTTTTTTTTCTCTTAATAATTGTTTCTGGGGTTGAGTTATTAGTTAATTAAATGTAATAATTCCAGAGTGATTAAGAGACGGATTCGTTAAAAAGTAAAATGGCGAATTGGATAAATGGTCTGAATTGCGACTTTAACCAGACGGGATTTTTGGCAAAACTTAAGTAGGCGTTGGCTGCGGAAGACCCAGCAGGAGGTCCGAATCCGATTTTAGTATCTCTTGAAAACTGTGTTCCGCTGAGTTTCGGGGACCGGAAAAGCTTGCATGGTGGTCAAAGGCGATTTGCATATTAAAATTCGGGAGCAGTGCCTAAAGATGGTTTAGCTCCGCCTCTCTCTATATAAGCTGCCCGCACGCTTGAGTTAGTCAGATCGGAACGCGGCAGAACACGGAAGAGACGGCCTGTTGGAATTTGATGGTCTGGTCTGTTGGTTGTCCTGCGTCAAGAAGACCGATCCGAACCAAGATATAGAAATAGAACCCGTACGAATCCAGATAAATTCGTCAACAAAGCTGTGAGAAAGCAGACTGCTATATCGTAGGGTACAGACGAAGATCCACGAATTACTTCCCTTAGATCAGCCGAAATTGTTTATCAGAACTTTTCCTAATCTCTTTCTCTCTCTCTCTCTCTTTCCGACCCCAAACGAGTGAACCTCGTTACGACATTTTGTATTCGTGCAAATTTTCGGTAGTGACATAAAAACAGTGGCCTAAAAAGGCTCTTTGTACAGGAACCGAAAGAGTTGCTTATTTTTTCTTTTTCATGTCTTTACGGCTAGGACAAGAAACTTTTTTTTGCATGAATAGTGAGTGCCTTTCAGCGTAATACCCAGCCATTTAATTCATCCTACCTCCGGATCGTTCTGAGGGATCGAAATACTGCTGTTCGGATCAAAAATTCACAACGTGGCGGATAGTGGTGGTTCCTTTAGTTCACCGGGGGAGGACCGGGTGGTTTATTTTTGGACAGAACCACCGGAGAGACAGGACAGAGCTGCAACAGGCAGGGTTTATTACGTTAGATCTACAAGGCCGTTAGAACAAGGGTGATATGCTGTAGTGGAAATGTGCTTAATTCCTAGTAGATTAGTGAATTCAGCAAAAAGTGCCGATTGAAACCGTGGACATCTATCGGTAGTGATTACCGAAGGGCATCCGAAAATTATAATCCAATGGTTGAAAATAGCATTAGCCACTGATTCGGCTGTAGTTGATTTCAAGGGAATAGCAACTGGCCATCGCGTAAAGCGATCAATTATTGTTAAAATGTACTCAAATCCATTCACACGTTCGAGTGGACCCACTAAATCCGTATACAGGTGAGTGAAACGCCCATTAGGGTTGGTAAATGTTGATGCAGGTGATCTTGTATGTCTGCCAACTTTGGTAGCTTGGCAACGTAGACACGTGCGGGACCACTGATTAATGTCAGCTGCCATGCCGGGCCAAATAAACCTGTCTGATATGGTCCGCAACGTTGCCTTGCCTCCTGGATGTGCTTGCGAGTGGAAATGATAAAAAATGAGACGGCGTGTAGACGGTGGTATATATGGACGCGGGTTACCCGTACTGGTATCGCAGTAGACCGATCTGCTCGTAAATGGGAGCGGTCGTTTCTCAATATTTAAAGAAGTGTCTGACCGGACGGCTTGTAACGTTTCATCTTTCATCTGTTCGTCTGCTAAGTTGTCAAAATTAAGTGTTGTGTTTTGAATTGAACTACGTGTTGTTGGTTCCACTAATGTAGCGAATGTCGGATGAGAATTGTGATATATAGTCCATGTAATGAATATCTCGTGGACTGTGTTTATCAGACTTGGTGTGCAGGGCGTACGTTAGTCGTTTATGATCAGTAAAGATGGAAAAATCACGTCCTTCCAAAATATGCCGGTAATGTCTGATGGCTAAATAAATCGCCAACAGTTCACGGGAGAAGGTACTATATTTCCGTTGGGCCGTATTAAGTTTGACAGAGAAAAACGATAACGGTTTTTCCACACCGTTAACGACTTGGTGTAATACTGCACTAACTGTATTTGACGACGCATCAGTGGTTAGTGTCAGCTTTGCGTCGGGCGAAGATGTGACATGCGAGAGTTTGGTACAGTCCTGCAGCGCTTGCTTAGCACGATGAAAAGAATCTAGCTCGACCGCAGATAATGTAATTTTCGGGTTCTTCAGCTTGTGCTTGGATAGAAGATTTGTTAGTGGGAGGAATATGATAGCGCGGTTGTTAATAAACTGTCGATAATAATTAACCATCCCTAAAAATCGCCGTAGCTGTCGTAAGGTGGATGGTGGTGGGAAATCATTGATAGCCTTGACCTTTTCGTCCAAGGGAGTTAACCCATTCTCATCAATGACGTGACCAAGGAAAGTTAATTTGGGGACGGCGAATAGGCATTTATCAACGTTCAATTTTAATCCGTAATGTTGTAATCTTTTAAACACTGATTGAAGATGGTCGCGATTTTCTTCGGGCGTTTTGCTTGCTATTAGTACGTCATCAATGTATGCATAAGCATACGGCAGACCACGACGGACCTCATCTATGAGACGCTGGAAAGATTGCGCTGCATTACGGAGTCAGAAAGGCATTCGGGTAAATTCGTATAAACCGAATGGTGTCGTTATCGCTGTCTTATGGATATCAGACGGTTCGATAGGTATCTGATAAAAGGCTTTTCTCAGGTCTAGCCTAGTGAAGTTAGTAGCCTCATCCAGAGATAAAGCAAAGTCCTTGATATGGGGGATTGGATACTTGTCTGGCACGGTCTGAGCGTTTAGAAGTCTGTAGTCTCCACACGGTCGCCAACTATCAGCATCGTTCTTAGGGATCATATGTAGCGGTGTGGCATAAGGACTAGAAGATGGTCTTATTATGCCCAGCTTGAGCATGTGGAATCTTCCACATTTGCCAGTTATACCCCATTGGAAAATGCACTCTTCTTCTTTGGTAATCACCACCACATTACATAAACACAGTACATAGACAAGCATTGGTTAATCTACTCAAAACTAGCTCGCTGATTGGTCAGTTCCGACCAATCAGATATCCTGCACGCGAGGAATGAAATTTCTGGCGTTTTCGTTCTGAGCCTCCCACGTGATAAACGATCTTATAAAAACAAAACATGTCTAAGATTCCTTGTGTTTTTTTTTTCATTCATCTTTCTCCTTGCTACCAAGATGTAATCTTCAAGAACTCCCGTCTTGACTAATGTAGTCAGACGTTAAAGACCATTACCAACATTCACGCAAGTACGAACTCTGAAATCTCTTCTGAACTTTTACCAACTTTACAACTCACAATTCCAAACATGCTAAAGAAACTTTATTCTTCTAAACTACAGTTTAATAATTACTTTCACTTTATGAGCTCAAATACAAATATTTCCAAATCTAAGAGACATAACTCTATCACACCTGTAATGTTCTGCGCAAGAAGCTATCGATGCTTGCTAGGCGTCGATTAATGCCTTGCTAGGATTTTAGGATGGTTCTTGATTGTCCCTCCGGTGATGGTAGCCTCCTATTCCCTCTTGCTGCTAAGCTGCTGATTAAGATTCACCAGATGTCTGGAGGGGACCTAACTCTTGTGTCTCTATGGGTTATCTCCCTTCTGTTGCTGGGATATTACAATGCTTTCTTTTTTTTTTTCTTTTTTTTTTTTTTTTTTTCGAGAGGGTTTTTTTTTTTTTGGTCTGGCCACAGCCATTCTAAAGCCAAATCTTCGGATGAGCTACTTTCCAAGCCATCTTCGGACTTTCCAAAACTGCGAGAATCATGCAAATCAAAATTGGAATCATCAGAATGAAGATCTTCATCACCCTGCAATGTGAGATTCTGAGTGGAAGAAATAGTTATGTTCTGGTTTAGGGAAGAATCAAGGTCTTGGTCAGATGAAGTGTTGGACATTTTCGAACGGCTGGCATCAGTTCTAGAGGTTTTGTCATGAATTTTCTTGCGTGACTGTCTAGGGTGTAGCATTTTCTGGATGGAGTTGAGGGGAGACATGACTTGTGGCTCTGGCACAGACGGTTGTGGACAAGGTGCCGACTTATATTTTGTTGACATCTGTTGGACATTTGAAGAGGAGTACAATGGATTTTGAAAATCTGTTGAAGCAACTGTTGTTGGACGTTTAACTTTTTGATAAAACTTGAGAGCGTCTTCATAAACATCATTTTGAGGACGCAAATATGTTGCATTTTGTGACAATCTCTTGCTTTGTTGGAAACTGCTAGAAGCAGTTGATGAAGGAGTGGCAGGAAAATTCTGTTGACAACATTTAAGCTTCAATTCATTTATTTCATGTGACATTCTCTTCGTTTCTGTGCACAGCATTTCTTGCATTTGGATGAAGTGTCTCTCCAAAGACAAATGGGATTTTCGTCGTTCGTTATCCAAAAGAGATGATAACTGGTGAATATTGGTGTGGGCGGTCATCAATTCTTGTTTATAAAGAGCGTTTTCAGCTTCAAGTTTCTGGACTGTGGAATTGATTTTGTGGAGAGTTTGTGATTGTTCATCAAGTTGCCCTTTTATTTGGTTGGTAAGCCCCAAAAATAAAGATGAACTCCTGTTTGCTGGAGTATCCATTTCAATTGGAGATGGCAAGTTCCGAGCTCCAGCTGTGTGGAACACGTATTCTGTATCACTACCACTGCTATGTGGGTTCCGTTGGTCGTTTTCAATGCGGTTCACTGAGCGTCGATTGGTCTGTGTTCGTGGGGGATGATTTGTTTCCCGTTGTCTGTTTCCGTCGTTTAATCTTCTGAAACAGGCAGAGGTGAAGTGTCCCCACCTTCCGCAATATGTGCACTGGGTATGAAATGCCGCGCAAGACATCGGTCCCCGCTCATGAGGGTATTTTCCGTTGCAATTCCTGCACCGGTATTGCCGGGGATAGTTACTTGGTCGGCGCTGTTCGTCCGCGACTTTGTTTATTGGGGCGGTTGTAGCAGTAGCGGTGTTGTTGTCTTCCAGTCGCATTGTTTGTAGGTGCGACGCTATCGTCTCCGTTGTCCTTGCGTAGTTTATTAAGTCATGTAGTGACATATCCGAGTTCATGAGTCCCTTCTGGCGGACCTTTTCCGACAGGTAGCCTGTAATTAGTTGGGACTTCACCTCGGAATCCATGTCGGAAAAACGGCACATAGACGCAGCTTCCTTTAGTTTGCGGTAGAATTCTTCGATGCCTGGGCTATTTTGTTTAATTTTCCGGAACACAAATCGGTTGTATTCCGTGTCGTTTTCCAGGTTGAAGTGGTTGTGCACCGCTGAGACAAGCTTGTCGAAATGTGTTTCATTTTTTTCTGGTGTGACTCGCTCCTGTGGTATTTCGTCGATGATGTCATTCGTAGCCTCGCCGACAAACGTTAGAAGGATTGCTTTTTGCCGTTTGTCATCCTCAATGTTATGTGCGACAAAATAGTTTTTCAGTCTTTTTATGTATTTTGTCCATCTTGCTGCTTTGGCTGTTGACTCACAGTCAAATTCGGGGTAGTGTGGAACGGCGGCCATATTGGTTATATATCGAACACGTGTTGAATTTTTTTTTTTTTTTTTTTGTGTTGATGTTCTGTTTTTGTGAGGGTAACGACTCAGTCCTCGTCGCCAATGTAATGTTCTGCGAAAGAGGCTATCGATGCTTGCTAGGCGTCGATTAATGCCTTGCTAGGATTTTTTTTATATGGTTCTTGATTGTCCCTCGGTGATGGTAGCCTCCTATTCCCTTTGCTGCTAAGCTGCTGATTAAGATTCACCAGATGTCTGGAGGGGACCTAACTCTTGTGTCTCTATGGGTTATCTCCCTTCTGTTGCTGGGATATTACAACACCTTCAACTCTTATGCTTGTACACCAAACACTAATAAATTCAATTGTTATGTTTTGAAATCATTACGTTCAGTTTTGTATTTTATACTATGTACTATTTACGTCAAATATAAATTGCATTGCGTCCACGCATTGTCCTTAATCCCACCTTTCCTAGCCAAAGTTAAATATTGGTAACACTGTCCCTACAAGCATATTCTCAAACTCCTCCTTAGCCACCCGGAGCTTAGTTGAGTGTAAACGACGGGATGACGCGTGGACTGGGGATCCGGTTGTTTTGATTGCATGTGTTGTATTGTGTTTCACGGGTTCCGCATACGTGAAAGGTGATAAGAGAGACTTGTACTGCTTAAGCAAGTCTTCGCAACCGTTTGCACTAGGTATAAGCGCAGTTAGTAGAAAGTTTGGATAATACTCCGCGTCGTCGTATATCCGTGCGCATATCTGTAAGTGTATGAGACGATAATTCAACAGAAAAATTGAAGTGTGCAAGGAAATCTGCCCCTAAAATGGGTATCTCGACATCGGCTATCGTGAAGGTCCATGTGAATTCTCTCCGTAGGCCGATGCTTAGAGACATAATACGCTCGCCATACGTGTTTATAGACGTGTCGTTCGCAGCCTGTAATTTTAGGCGAGTTTCTTTGGGTATTGTTGATAACTTGTTACAATAGCTCAGCGGTATAACGCTGATCTGAGCTCCTGTATCGACTAGAAATTTTAACTTGATGTTACTGTCAAATATGTAAAACAGGTGATTTCCATTATCCGCGATGGCAGCCAACGCCTTCAATGGGTGCCAGGCTAGCCGTTTTCCCGCGCTTTGATAAGCACATGGTGACTGACATTTCTTAGCACGGACGTCAAGCACTTCATGGTACCATCAATAGCCTTTCTGGCGGTGACGAGGTTGTCTTGACACTGATCTTCGTCGGTTAGCGTTGTACTGGGTAGTTAAATTACTGCGACTCCTTCTGGGTATACTTTGGATATTGTCGAGACATAAGGAAAGTTTCCTTAGCTCTGTGGTCAAAAATTTGCTGGTTAACATCAGGAATTGGGTCTGACTGAGGTGTTCGGAACAATGTGGTAATCAATTTGTTACAATGCGAACGGCGGCGTTACCAATTTTGTTGGTCGTTGTTAATTTGAACGTCAGAGTGATCACTTTTGTAGTTGCTGTTAACTTGAACGTCGGAGTGATCACTTTTGTTGTTGTTGTTATAAACTTTGGTATCAGCAATTTTTTTGTTGTCGTTATGAACGTCGGTATCACAAATTATTTTGTTGTTATAAACGTCGGGGTCATCAATTTTGTTGGGATTGCTATGATTTTGAATTTGTTATCAGAAGGTTTTTATATTAAGATGGTTAGTTTACGAACATGTTCACCATATTAATCCGCAACAATATAGAATATAGACATTCAAAAACGAATCAATCGCAAGGCAATTGAGTAAGAAACACCGATTATGAGATTTCAATAAAACAACACGCATTTATGTACAATTAATATACAATTTGAATACTTGTAGTTTGATAATGCAAGAAATTGACCATTGATAAATTGGGTTTCTTATTGATTTACAGTTCGAAATTGTTCAAGTGTTTAAGAACTGGTCAAACAGAGTAAAATGGAAAATACTATTTATACAGAAATTTGTGTAGTTTGTATGCGTGAATAAAGTAGGAGTTTGTATGCGTGAATAAAGTAGGGTTTAATTGTCTAAATTCTCCAGAGTTGTTTACCTTGGATTGTTCTGTGTTTGTCTTTGTTTAAAATACAATTTCTGTTTTAGTAGTGTGTAAGAACACTTTTCTTAGAAAGTTGTAAGTGAGATGTGAGAGATTATGTTGATTTTAGAGTCAGCAGTTGACGCGCGAAAAAGTATCTTAAGTCAAAGTAGTGACACGCGTGGATTTGTGTGGCATCTCTCTGAAGTTTATTGACTGACTGGTGAATTGGGTCGAGATGATCCTTTTTATTTGTTTCTGGAAACCAAAATAGGCTCCAGCGAACTGGGCGCGAAAACAGTTTTTCAACAATTGTTACATGTCTCGACCAATAGAAAGTCAAGATTTGCAATGCGAGGTGTTGGTTGGTTAAAACTGATTCTGATGGAAGAGTGTATTTTATCTCGGAGGTGAGTATGAAATATGGACGATTCTATACTCTCATTTGACACTTCGGACACCGTACATTCGAACGCTGCACTATATGACTAACCAGCGACTTTGTCATATCTTGTAAATTAAAATAAATCATTGGTCATTTCTCCAAACCAATGTCTCATTCATTTCTCCAAACCAATGTCTCATTCATTTCTTTACTCCAACCAGCTCCACCGGATCAGCCCCAGATATTTGTTTTAAATTAAGTTTAATATTTAATAGTTGAATATTACATCCACTAATTCGTGATACTTAAGGTTTAAAATTAATTTTAAAAAAGCTTTCATTTTAATTTTATTTGAAAGCTAAATGATTAAATTTACTATTTACAGTAAACAAAATACTCTATAATGTATTTCAAACAGAAATTATATTGATTGGACTTATAGACTCGTCTTGTTCCTATCTACCACCCCTAGTAACAGAACAGTCTATCTTACGCCTACGTACAATAAACTTCGACCAATTAAAACTGTATTAGGCGAATAAAGAAATTTCATTGGATAACGACAATGATCTAAAACTTTCACGCGCAGAAATCGAAATTGTGCCAAAACCTCTTGGGTCAAAATTGGACCTTCGAAACATATATAAAGGAAAAACCGACTGACCAAAGCAGTCAGTGACAGCACCACAGAGAAATTGCCAACTTACTCCACGTCGTTCGAAACCAGATTTTGCCGCGCAAAAGCATATCAACGCTGACTCACTCACAATTCAAACTCAACCCACTCTGTGGACATTATTTCTCAGATATTGCTTATCTAAAGTGAATTACATTCACTATCTATTAAGTAAACATTTATGTGCGAACGACCTTAAAAATATTACAGTAAAAGGTAAATTACTTCTTAAGGACTTTCTGTTAAAAAGACACTTAATATTAACAACTTTAATATCAACATTAACGAACGATCACAAGAAAGACATTTTGAAACCTAAAACATCATACACATTTGCCAACATAACATATACCTAATATTCTGCTTGTATATCGTTTTGAATTGTATATAAATGTTTTATTAGTTTCTAATTAAATATGTCTTGTTCTTAATATGAACTCTGGTACAAATATTTCCAAATCAAAGGGACACGACTCTGTCCTACCTTTTCATTGCATACTTGTACATCAACCTAAATAAATCTAATTGTTACGTTTTAAAACAATTCAGTTGAATTTTGTATTTTATTCTGATGTTAGTGGAAATAGTTAATTGACACGCAACCTATTCTCAACAGATATTAGCACATAATTAACCCATTCACTACAGTTTCTCGATTCAATTTTTGGAGCTAAAAATAGCGGATTAGTGCCCTTTTTAGTCATCTCTCATCGCAATGTAATTCTCTCTATTAAAATAATCTTCCAAAAATAAAATATACTTTTCCGAAACTTTATTTGGGAAATATTAGAATAAAGTATAATTAATCTGATTTGAAACAAATATTATTTACTTTAAGTTTAAAATGTCACAGGAATGCATTTTTTAAAAGATGTTTACTGTTTATTTAAGATGTTGACAGCTTGATGACAGATGGATGTTTATCTAATGTTTTTCTATCTGTAAAAAATAAGTGAAGAATATAAAGTGAGCGCCTTTTTATATAATTTTTAAGTACTAAGTAATCTTGAAAAATTAAGAAAATATTTTATTGAATTTTATCTACTTTGGTTTTAAATTTACTACAGTTATTGCTCTTATTTTCTGATAATATCGTGTATGAACACCTGCATCTAAAAAATCGGTACGTTTATACAAAAAAAAATTAAAAATTTTTTCAATATATTGGTGTTTGATGAATTGTACGAAGCTTTTCAATTTATGATTTGTAAATATAATTTTTACTTAATAATAATACCATCTAAAAAGGATGAAATTAATACACAATTTTAAAAGATTTAAAACTTAATAAATTATTCTAATTGGATTTTTTAAAAAATGGAAACAATTCTTGTAAAAATTCAATATTCATCGAAATTTTTTTCTTAAGACAAAAGTGTCCTTAATATATCTTATTTATAAAAGCTTTTCTAATTAAAATAATGTCATAGTTTTATTGATATTTTATGATTAAGAGCAGATTTTTGGTAAATGGTGTTTCTGTTTTATACAAAAAGTTGATGATTTAAATTCTCCAAGGAGTTCTGGAGATTTTGTAAAAAAAAAAAAAAATTCTAAAATAATTTCATTCATTTAATAGGTTTAATAGGTTCAATAGGTTTCGAAAGTTTCATTAAAATCCGAAAATTATTTGATTTTTGCAAGAATTTCTGAATCAATGTGTTTTTTACTGAAATAAGACGCTAAGATTTTCTATATTGATCTCCCCACTGACACAAGAAAAATAACATTTTAACCATCATTTTGGACGTGCTAGAAAGAATTAAAATATTTAATTAAATAATAAAAATATTTTGGCTTATCCTCTTAATAATAGCATAAAAATTTTGACGATAAAACTTTGTTCTTAAATTTGGGACATTTTTTTTTTCATCATGGTATGCTCTTTTTT